CCTTCCACCCCAAACCCATTCGGTAGGTAAATAGTAGTCCTGCCTGGAACTCAAGATCACTCTTGAGCTAAAAGGATCGCCAATCCCAGGTCAGCCTGGGCTACATAGCAAGACCCTCTCTCAAAGTAAGCAAACGAAAACTATCAAATGCTCTCCGTTTTGGGCCTGGGGGGGCCTGGGAGACAGTGGATGCCCGAGGTCAAGACTTTGGGGGTGGGTAGGCCTGAGTAGCCACAATGTAGGAGAGTCTGGAGTTCTCCTAGTGCATTTAGCTCGTGTACAGCCCTGGGCAAGGTTGACCTCAGGGGGCCTGGCTGAGGCAGTGACACCGCCTTGGCTCTCCTACAAAGTCCTGCACTGCTCCTAGGGTCCTGAGGCCATAGAGCCCAAGCTGATCCTCCCAGGAGAGGCGGCCCTGGTCGAGGTCCTGCAGCCGCAGAGCTCCTGTGCCCTTCTGGGGGCAGGGGAGCAGCCCGTGTGCTTCAGAACAACCAGCAGCATTTCTCAAGTCCTTGGTTTTATTGACTCCTAGGGGCTGCCAGGGTTATAAATAGATGTTCTTGAGCTAAAAATAGCCATGCTAGAGGCAGACTGCTTCTAGCTTTCGTCCTTTTTGAGGACTCTTGGGGATGCAGGACTCAGGAACCCTTCCTTCTCCCTCCAGAAGGGCCAGCCTCACCCTGTTCCCCTATCCTACCTAGTGTGAGCACACGCGCGTGTGTGCACGCGCACACACACACACAGAGGCATGCTTGGACTCACGGAGGGGTGGCTAGTGCACGCACACGCGCACACACACACACAGAGGCATGCTTGGACTCATGGAGGGGTGGCTAGTGCACGCACACACACACACACACACACACAGAGGCATGCTTGGACTCACGGAGGGGTGACTAGTGCACGCACACGCGCACACACACACACAGAGGCATGCTTGGACTCACGGAGGGGTGACTAGTGCACGCACACGCGCACACACACACACAGAGGCATGCTTGGACTCACGGAGGGGTGGCTAGTGCACGCACACGCGCACACACACACACACAGAGGCATGCTTGAACTCACGGAGGGTGGCTAGTGCACGCGCACACACACACCACACACACAGAGGCATGCTTGGACTCACGGAGGGGTGGCTAGTGCACGCACACACACACACACACACAGAGGCATGCTTGGACTCACGGAGGGGTGGCTAGTGCACGCACACACACACACACACACACAGAGGCATGCTTGGACTCACGGAGGGGTGGCTAGTGCACGCACACACACACACACACACACACACAGAGGCATGCTTGGACTCACGGAGGGGTGGCTAGTGCACGCACACGCGCACACACACACACAGAGGCATGCTTGGACTCATGGAGGGGTGGCTAGTGCACACACACGCGCACACACACACACACACACACACGCATGCTTGGACTCACGGAGGGGTGTCTGGTGTCTGGGTTTGAACCTCTGTCCACTGGGAGTGCGGGAAGGGTCCTGGGATAGGGACCAAGAAGACACTGCCATAGAGGGGAACTACACTCAGGACACGGTCAGCTCAGATGTCCTCTGGAAATGTCCACACCGCACCTCGAGCTGCGGCTGGCACACAGCGAGTGCCCCGCGTGACCTAGAAAGCCACGTCTGTAAGTCCGTCCCGTGAGGGAGCACACAGGTTCTCTGGGCAATGCTCACGCCTGCAGCACAGCACCGAAGCGCCTGCTCTGCACTAGCAAGGGGGCATTGGCAGGCAGAGCCACAGCGCCTCCAGGGAGAGGAGGTCAGCGGCTGGGGGTGGAGGTGGCAGGCACATGGCAGGGTTTCCGCCAGATAGCCTGGTTTGCTTCTGATCCCATACTGTGTGCAAGGATCGCCCTGCAGATGTGTTTCAAGCCTCTGTGCACAGGTACAAGCCTGGAGCGGCCACCGGCACCGTTCAGTGATGCATCCAGCGGTTTCCAGGGGGTGGGGGGAACTGGGAGTATGAGCAGGTGACAGGCAAGGTGAGTTGTTTGTTTTTGCTGGTCCTGAGGCTTGAACTCTGGGCCAGGGTGCTGACCTTGAGATTCTTTTGCTCAAGGTGAGTGCTCTACTGCTTGTGACACAGCACCATTTCTGGCTTTTCTGAGTAGTTTTTTTTTAAGAGTCTCACCTTTGGGGGGGGAGGGAAAGTGGGAGAAAAATGAAGGAAGGGTAACAAGGTCAACAAGAGATGTACTTACTACCTTACTTATGTAAAACTGTAATCCCTCTGTACATCACCTTGACAATTAAAAAAAATAAAATCTCATGGACTTTCCTGCTGGGGCTGGCTTCAAACCATGATCCCCAGATCTCAGCCTCCTGAGTAGCTAGGATTACAGGCATGAGTCACCAACACCCAGCTTCAAACTGAGTTTTAAGTTGCATAGGTTTGTTACATCAAACTTGTGCTAGCAGGTTAAAAAAGAAAAGCAGTTTCCATCACATGGTTGTACCCAAGGCCTGTGCCTTCCCTGTGCCCGGCCGACCCAGCCGCTTCAAGCCTCAGGCTCTGCCCCTCTGCACCCTCTCCTCTGCCTACCTGGCAAGTAGGTGTTGCAGATCTGACCACCAGGCTCCTGGCTTCGGGGAGCCTCCACATGGCCCACCATCCCGTACCCCTGCCCACCACCCCAGCCAGAAGAAAGAGGCGGTGGAGACCTGGGGAAAACATCTGTCTGAGGATTTATTAACAACACATTGTTTCCAAATACAAAAGGAGGGAAGAGGAAAGTGCAGCTGGGCTAGCTGGGGCGGGTTCTGAGGGGACGGGTGAGCCAGCACCCCAGTCCTCAGGGACCAGGAGCCTTGGGCAGAGGACCAGACACTTCTCTCTGCTGGACTTTCCAGCAAATAACAGGAGGGGCTAGGTCCATTCTGGGCAGCCCCGATGCCAGGCGGTGGCCAGGCAGAAGGGGTGGGAGGGGCTGGAAAGGCTTGGAGAGGGCTTGCCCGGCCCTCCAGACTTAGGAGAGTGGGTAGAAGTCTCATGCCTCACCTCCCTCCACACACTGGGGGTGGCGGCAGCTAAGACTGGACTTTCTCTCCTGCCTTGGCTGTTCATCTTGGGGTGACCAGTGTGGAAAGAGCAGGGGCAGATTGAGGCCAGAGAGCCCAATGTGCTCAGGAGAGAAGGCATGCTTCATCAGGGAGAGGGGAGGGGCCACGGGACCTGCCCCAGAGGTTTGGGGCCCAACCAGTGGTCCCAGGGCACTGTCTCCTGGACAGCAGAGGGGTGAAGGGCAAGGAGGGGGAAGCCAATGCATCCTCCACACCCAAGGTCACCTCAGAAACCCAACATAAGAGACAGGAGGCAAATTTACATAATTAATAATAATAATTAACCAATAATAATAATAATAAATACTTAAACCTCTAATCCATAGATTGCAAATACAACAATGATAGCTTATTTTCTCAAGGAGCAGGGTGGGTGGGACAAAGGGAGGTGGAACAGGACGTTTGCTTAAGAAGGGGTGACAGGAACACAGGGCTGGGGGGTCAAAAGAAGAACAAATAAAAGGACACAGTGAGGAGGCAGCAGCGGGCAGGCAACGCCACCCAGGCCTGCTCCTGGACTCAGTCCTGCCACCTGCCTGCCCCTAGCTTCCTCCCAACGTGATGGCCCCACTAGATGTTTGAGGAGCTGGGACCTCTATCCCGCCCCAAAGCCTTGGGCTCCAGGCGACCCAGCCTCCTGGGCCCTTCTCGCTGGGGAAGCAGGGGCGGCTGGGAGTTCTCTCCTGCCTTCACTCCCCGATTGGTCCTACGGGGCCAAAAAGCGCCACCTGGGGCGGAGGCTGGCCAGCCCCCTGGAGAGTTTGGGAGTGCACTCTGGGCAAGGACACACAGAGGTGCCCCGAAGATCAGGCTGGCACATGCTTCCACAGTCCTCTGCCTCAAACGGACTTTCTGAAGCCAGGTGGGAGCCTAACTCCCTATGCAAGGCAGGGCAGGCCTGCCCATGAGACCCCCAAGCTTCAGCTGTGCCCCTGGATTCCAAGTCCTGTCTGGGGCTGGCACCGGGTTGGGGAAAGAGCCTAGGCCAGGTCCTGGCTCCATGCCCTCACTCCTGGGCCCGTGGAGTTGGCACGAGCTAGCCTTGCTCTTTGGCCAAGTGAGCTTTTCCTGTGCTTCACATGGGCAGGGGGGCAGTCGGGGGCACCTGCCAAGGAGCAAGAAGGGTGTGCTTCCTCTGAACGGCCTCTCTGGGCCATTCTGAAGACCTGGACCTGTCTCAGGCAGGAGCAGGGGCCTTTCCACCCCATCCTCACCCTGGGGTCTGCGTCTTCTGACTCTTAGGAACCTGCTTTGCTAAGCTCCCTGGCCCCACAGGGCTGCTGTCTGTCAACATCAGCCAGGGCACAGCTCTGGGGTGAAGGACAGCGAGGGGGCCCCCACTTTGCTGAGGCGTGGCCCCTGAGCTCGTGGGGGAGGCCCAGGGAGACTCAGACAGCACAGCAGGACCGCCTTACCCTTACCTATGGCTTTGGTGCAGAGCCCGAGACAAGAGAGAAGAAGATGGGCAGAGGAGAGGAGAGGGGACGATGGGTGGGAAGGGAGGTTCTGCGGCTCAGTTGTGGCAAAGGTTTTCTTTTTCTTTTTTAAATTTTCTTTTATGTAAAAAGTGCAGGAAGCCGGGCAGCTCTTTGCAAGGTCAGTAATGGTCTCCCCCGCCCCCCTCCGGGCAAGAGGCAAGCAGGGGCCGGGGTCTGGCACCCAGCCCCGCTTGGGACTGAAGGTGGCCTCATATTGCTTAGACACGTGTATTTCAGTTTAAATACCAGACAGTAAAAACAGAGCTCGAGGACCGCCCTGCACTGCCTCCAAATCACGGCCAGAGTGAACAGCTTAAATAAATTAGAAAAAAAAGTCGAAATAGTCACGTCTCCATAAAAATGGCGGTCAGAACCATTTACCTCTCCTGGCCCTGGCATGCGCACGCGGGGCCCGCGGAGGTCACGACGGGGAGATCACGACACCTCGATGACCTCCACGCTGCCCGAGAAGCTGGCCTGCTTGCCCAGGGCTGCCAGCTCCTCGGAGCGCGCGCGCCCCTCGGCCATGCCCTCCTCGAACTCCATCTGGCAGCTGCGCCGCTTGAACTGCGCCTCGGGGCCTGGCTCCTCGGCCCAGCCGGTCCGCACGTCGCGGGGCTCT